GGGGGTGCGTGGGGCTGAGTTTTCACATCCACTCACCAACTGGGGGACCATATATTGGTGACTGAAGCAGAACTTCCGGGGCTCTATACCTGCATAACTAATGATGTTTTAGCATTCCTTACTAGAATAAAAAAAAGGGTACATAGAAAGGAGAAACTACCCTCACCAGCGTGTTGAGACGTATTCAGTGAATGGAGGCCGAGAAGTGATCTCACGAGCAAGACCAAAATCAGCAATTTTTATGGTATCCTTTGTTACAAGCAAGTTTTCTGTTACAAGCGTCAATAAGATAGACATTGAGGGGAAATCTTGTAGATACAAACTATTAACTGATAAGAACTTCTAGAATTTGAGCAGCAAACAACGTAACAAATTCCAAATAACATTCACACCGTTTCCGGATACATGATAAATTCAGTGTAGCAAACGAAATATTGCAAAACCATAACCATGTAGCACGCAAAATTGATGTGCTTAACAATTTCCAAAAAAGGATGATTCTGAACTGCATCGAGAAATGTATAGAAAACAACTAAATTTTATAATGATAAAACATGAGTCCTAGCTGAGCACTGATGTCGGCATTCACAGCATCACATAAAAGTCAATGCAGTTATAGGATTAGTAATAGATTTTAAATTATGTAACATTATACATGCCCAGTCAAGGTATAGAAACTATTAGAGGTCTATTACATCTAGATGATCGTAACTGGAACTGCCAGAGTAGTAATAACCTGGCTTGAGGTCACGATGGAAGTATCCACGTTGATGCATATACGCGAGACCTTGAAATACTTGGAAGCACCAGTTTCTCACATCCACTTCTGAGAAAGGTTTTTTCCTGTCCTTCATAAGCTGGTATAGATTGCATTCCTGAAGGTACCAACACCACATATTACTTCCTCAGACAGAGAAAAAAAAGAGGGGGCCAACAGATCTAGGAAAAGCAACGCTTACCATATATTCAAATACAAAGCATAACATATCATTTTCCCTTATGACTTCCTTCAGCTTTACTATATTTGGATGGTTCATTTTCCTCAGTGACTGTCAAATAAAGAACCATCAAGTAAATTAGTGTGTCAAACTATCACACAAAAACTATGCTTAGCCCAGCCGCTTCTCATGAATTTTCATAACTCTGCTGTACAAAAATGGAATATGCAATGAAATGGATGTCCGAGTTATGATATATCATCAAAATAAAAAGTAAATATTCACACCTTGACTTCTCTCAGATTTATACATTCTTCCCATGAATAATATTTCTTCTTCATTTTTTTAATAGCCACCTGTTGACAAAATTAATCACGTACTATAACAATTTCAGCAAACGACAATGGGAATTGGGAAATAATCTTAATAAGTCGAGGACCGAAACTAATCTAAACAAACAATGCACCTACCACTTCACCAGACTGCTTGCTTAGAGCTCTCCAGACACTTCCAAACGTACCATTACCAACTTCTTTTATAATTGTGAACCTATTATGTCATCAACCCAATGTGATCTTTGAATACATTCAACAGGAAAGCAATGATAGTACATAGATAATGAGATACCACAGATTGTACCTTTCCATTCTTGCGGCTTTAGCTATGAGCGACGTTCCACTTTATTGGACGAGGAGAGAACAACACAAAGCTACTTTCTAACTTTTACACACTTTAACTGTAAACAAAAACTAACAGCCTGGCTAATAAATCAAACCCATCACTAATACAAGAAAACCTATAGGATTGTGATGGACATGCTTAAATGCCTTATTTATGAGGTAAACCAAAAAAAATCTGAACAAGAAGCTGCATAAATTCGGGTACTAGTCAAAACCGACTGACAAAAAATCGCTCCACCATCAACCGCTATCAGCTAAAGTGATGATTTGCATAAGTTTCCACATTTCAGTATGCTGAAATATTGAATCCAATGAAGTTCCTTCTCATACTTGCAGACGAGTCCTGAGTTAAGGGGGAGGGGGAAAGTACACAGTGATGATCCTGGAATCTCAAAACATGAATTGATCAATCGGAAAAATAAGGGTTAGAAAGTACCTCACTGCGGGTCTCCAAACAATCTTAATGGCTAATGCAATGCGTATCAGCAATGCACTAGCAACAAATAATATTGCACAAGAGGATTAACGGTGTAAAACTGGATTGATAGCACAGCCAGAGTCCGCTGTGTTACAGTTTATGCAAGCAACTCACTTGTACAAGTGCACTAACAAGGCTTCATCATCAACTTTGAAGATATGCTTTACCTTCCTATACTGGTCATTTTATTCTAAGTGCAGTTGACAAAGGAAACAAGAAACTCTCCGAGGATGAGAAATCGCCAGTCAAGGAGCCCCTGGAATTGAAAGATCCTAAGCTGGTGGCAATCTGACCAGAGGCAAATTTGCTCCATATCCTAGAAAGTCCCTTTAGCTCGTGTTTTAAGACCTGAAACCATAAGGAAAATTAACTTTATAATACCAACCTA